GAAATCATTATATATATATATAAATATAGCGCGCGTGTGTGTGTGTGCGTGTCTCTTGTTCTATGTGTAAGATCTTCATACTTAGTTTACTTTAACACGTACTCTTAGTATGTATTTGTGCCCTTAAGAGAAAAATTTTCATGTGTTGATCCCTAAATACGATTCACCTCCATATGGGTAAGCCAACAACAGTACCTTACCCTAGCCACAACCCTGCCCTTGCTCACCCTAACTGAAACACTAAATCAGCCCTTGATCGCCCTAGCCGAGATGCTAAACTCTCCTTCCTCACCCTAGTTGAGACATTGAACTCCCCTTTCTCATCCTAGCAAAAACCCTAAACCAAACCTTCCTCACCCTAGTTGAGACACTAAACTCCCCTTTCTTATCCTAGCCAAAACTCTAAACCAACCCTTCCTCACCCTAGCCAAAACCCTAGCCTAACATCCACTACAACTTCCTCTCCCTCTCTTGCCCAAAAGATTTCTTCACCTAAAAATACACTTACTTCCAATGGCTTAAATATAACTTAACATTAGATCTATGTCACGTTACATGCAAAAAAGAAAAAAAAAATCGTATGATGTTGTTTATGTCTCATTTCATGTTCTATGCGGAGAAAAGAAAAAACACCTTTGATGATGTTTATGTTCATTTCATGTTCCATTGTAAAAGAAACTGATATGAACTTGATTATGTCTCATTTCATGTTTTATGCAAAAACAAGCCCATGTTATGATGACTATGACTAATTTCATATACCATGTAAAAAAAGAAACTCATGTGATATCTTATGTATGAAAAAAAAATCATGTGTTTATTTCTGCATTTAAAACAAAAAAATAATATATGTGCTTAGTTCCATGTCTTAAAACAAAAAAAATTATTTATCAACTTATGTCCCTTCTGCTAGTCGAATGCCTCTTCTAAAAATGCAAGTTGGGAGTTTCACGTTACCATCCAAAAAATACAAGTTAAGATGTTTGCATTTAAAAAAAAAATCATGTGTTTATTTCTGCATTTAAAACAAAAAAAATAATATATGTGCTTAGTTCCATGTCTTAAAACAAAAAAAATTATTTATCAACTTATGTCCCTTCTGCTAGTCGAATGCCTCTTCTAAAAATGCAAGTTGGGAGTTTCACGTTACCATCCAAAAAATACAAGTTAACATGCTTGCATTTTAAGAAAAAGTCAATGTTCTAAGGAGTTGTAAATGTTTACATAATTGAAGTTGTGCAATCTACACATATAAAGAAAATCATTATTACTTATCCTTTTTATGAAGGCTCATACAAATTTAAATGTGCTCTAATTAAAGATTTTTATATATAAAAAATGAGCTCTAAAAGAAGGAGAATAGTGCTATATAGGCCTATATGTGCTTAAATTGTGAAACATACTCATAGGTTAATTATTTTAAAAGTTTTTTTTATTGGTTATACTTACATAAAACTCTTAATGAATAAAGATATTTTATTTTTACAAAAAGAGATATATTTTCAAAAATAAAACTTACTCTCTAAAAATAAATAGAAAAACTAGCAAGCAAAACCTTTCAAGTTAAAAACTATACCAAATCCCTCTTTATTAAAAAAAAATCTTAAAATCCTTTTCAAATGAAATCTTTAAAAAAAAAACATAAATAGAACTAGAAACCTAAAGAAACAATATAAATAAAAGAAAGCTAAACATTCTCAAACAAATAAAAATGAAAATCTTTTTAATAAGAAATCCTTCTAAACAAAACCTAAAAAATATATTAAATAAAGAAAGAATACAAACCTTTTCAAAAACACAAGGAAATATTTCCAAGATAAAACTTATAGAACCCTTTCAAAAGAAAAAAATATATTGAAGCTTAAATAAAATATTTTTGAAATAAAACTTTAACTTTTAAATTTTTTTCAAAATATAATCTTTCCAAAATACAACCTTTTCAAAATAAAAACTCAAGATAAAACTTATCAACAAAATAAAAATAAAATAAAACCCAACTAAAACTTAAGAAAAAAAAATCAAAGTAAAACTCTTTCAAAATCAAAGTACACTTTTAAAAGAGAACTCACAGAACTTTATCAAAACAGCAAAACATGCTTAAACGACCTTTTTTTAAAACCTAAGGATAACTAAACCTCTACTGAACTCACCAAATGCGTAGGTTTTCATATAAAATTATGTAAGTTTGCAATTTATGCCTTGACACACTTATACAAGACTTATACATTTTTATAGATTTAACCCATGAATGAACATGTTCTCATTCAAGAACAAGTGATTTAAAAGCTTAATTCTTAAATGAATATATCTTGAGCAATTTCATAATTACATATTTTTTATATTAGGTATACTCGCATGTTTAATGGTATCTTTGTGTGTGACAAGAAAAAAATAAACTAAACATTTTATGGGTACATGTATGTAGTTGATATATAATTTTTTTATTTCCAATAATTTGCAACTATTTTGTACCTACTTTCAATTAATAAACCATTTAGAATTATTTTTATTATAAAATAAAACTTGCAATAAGAGTCAAGCACACTTTACTTATTTGGCTTAATGAAATATAAATTTGAGATGCCATTGGAAGAAAAGGATAATTTTTTTGCATAAAAGTTCACCACAAAAATCTATTAGCTGCACTAAAATAAAGTTTTAATCATTGTTCTAACTAGGAAAGAAAAAAAGAATATTTTAAGGATTTTCTAAGATTGGGAATATTTAAACAAAAAGAAAAAAAGAAATATTTTCATCATGTGTAAGTTTTGGACAATTAATATATGAAATTCTATAAGTTCAATCCATCACCCAAAGAATAGGTAGATTGCAACTTCACAAAAAACCTCCATCGTTTCATTGTCCGCCTAGCTTGAAGTTATTGAACAAAGACTGAAAAGGCATGACACTTTTGGAGGGGCAGATAATTTCAGGCATATATCAGATTTGTAAAACTCACATAAAAAATTAGGAAATAGTTTGCAGAGATAAATTATAACTTAATTGACATGGCTTAAAGTTTTTTGGAGAAAAATAGTTATCACGTCAAATATGGACATAAAATACATAAAAAAAATCTTTACAACATTGTCAAACCGTTATAAGTCAAGATTATACCACAAACATGAAGTATGCTTATATTTCAAACATTATTAACTTAATTAAAATTGATGAGGTATGAATAGAAATCTATAAATAATATTAGAAGAAAAGTTACTTAAGTTTTTTTATCAATGCAGTCTTGATTCAAAAATGTAAAATATTGAAGAAAAAATTGTTTCACTAAATTTAAGAATCAAAACTTTTTAAGAAGATAAAAGAATTATATCTTTATTCTTGATTGTTTTTCTTTATATTGAATCAAAATTGTATGACATATAGCCAACATATATGTAAGCATCCATAATGACTAATTGTTTTTCTCTGTGTTGAATTAAATATATTTATTTCATGTACATGGCAGTGTTGTATAATAAAAACATTGCTTTTGTATTAATACATACCTATTGTCAATCCAGATAAATTTGTCTCATAAAATATAAGTAGTTATAGGTGACACATAAGAGTGGTTGAAGACTCAAAAACTTCATGCAGAAGTATACCATCATTGTTTGAACTTGTTAACATCCTTGATGATATACTTTGATTTGAAGAGTTATGTCAAAACCTATTAAACAAATGAGCTGACAAAATGTAATGATTTATATTCTTATGCTACACCTATAATAATAAAAAGGTGACATCTAATAAAAGTAAATTTATAACAAGTAACTAAAAATAAGTGTGAAAAAGTAATTGCCTGTGTTTCACGATCGATGGGATTAGTAGCTTGAGAACTGTAGCAAGTACGTTGATATCGCTCCAGTGTTTTGCAGGTGCTGACAGAAATTGAAAATGTTAATCATCATAGTAAAATTAGTTTATTTTCGAAAAAACATTATTGTAATAGTCTTTAGAACAAGATAGCATCATTAAATGATAATTATAGAGGTGAAGAATAGCTTCAAGTAAATGTAACAAAATAATCAATTTAACAGAAGGATGCTTTGGAAAATTCAATAGTCTTTCAGTTTTAGGAATTAGCTATTTTCATTGAATAAAATAAGCTTAATTAGTTCTTCCAAATGAACAGCACTTGCTGGATTTGCATATCCAACACCAAGGTTAAATTTGGATAACTCCAAGAAAGAATTTGATGCATTATATAATGAAGATAATCTTAATAATCGTGCTTCATAAATAAGAAAATAGATTTTGATGATAAGTGTATCTAGATATTAACGAAAAAGAAAGAAAATAAATTATTTTCTATTAAAGATCACAGAACAATAAAGGTAAACATTTTAGAAGGACAAACATGTGTATTTAAGTTATCTTCTCATCTATTCAAATTTTTTTCCAATATAATTCCATGAATGTTCATGTGTTGAAATGTCTTGGCTTTATTCCTATGAAGAACATTTTTTAATCTTTATCAAGAACTTAATGATCATTTTTTTAAAATAATATTAGATATTTTCCTCCTTCACATTAAAAATTATCATCATTTATTTTATAGGTAATGAATCATAAACATTAGATTCATAATAATATGAATATGTGCCATCTAAGAACTAGTTTCTATTATAAAATCGTGGTCTAGAATAGATACCTATAAAATTTAATCGGTGATAATGCATTATCAACCATAAACAAGTTTAAAAGGAATTTCTTATAGATATGTTTATGTTGAATTGATTATATTTCGGAAAAAGTTATATTTGCTTAATTTTTTCATTGTTAATTTCATTCATCTTAAAGCTGCTTTTTATGCTAAACTTGTTGAATAAAAATTTCCTTAAACTTAGTTGAAAGTTGCATGAAGAGTTACTTATTTTGTATAGCTCACATTCATGTTAACTTTTATTTTCCTATTATTTTCTTAATCTTTTAATCTTAATTTATTTGATTTATATTGTTGGTATTTTATGAAACAAACAAAATGTCATCAAATATATTTTCTGCCTTTTAATATTCTAATAGATATGAATCTCACTATCTTCTCGTATACATTCTCATGCATCTATCAAGCACAATTTTGCCATATTTTTTTCATAAAAAAATTATTCCTTTCTTTTTTTTAAAATTGGTTATAATTATACATGCATTTCTTGATTTATTATTAGTACTTGTTTGAAGTTTAATTAAAAGTAGTCATTTATTGCTCAAGAGTTTTGATGTGTTACTATTAGATAAGCTAAACAAGAAATCATTACAATTTAATAAAAATATTATTTTATGATAGGTTAAATTGAATGAAGTTAAATATATCTTGCATTATCCAAGAATTATGTAAATTGTTATTTTGTTTTAAGTTTAGTGGTGACCAAGTTTCTTTACAGTTTAGATGAGATGCAGAGTTTGATATATAATTTTATGTATGTTGGATAGCCACACTTTTTTTTTGTGAAATTGGCCCTAGCTAACAAAAGAAATAATATTGTAAAAGTTAGAGTAGCCTCTTTGATAGATTGAAAATCTTTGAAGAATCTCTCGAGTGCCATTTGGCAAAAAAACTTTGAAAATTTTAAAAACTAGAGAAGAAGAGAGAGAGAGAGAGAGACACACACACACACACAGCTATATATATATATATGAACTCTTCGAAATGTGAGTTCAACTATAGAGATGTACAAATATGGAGTTTAAAGTGATTCAAAGTAATGTGAAGGCCATAGTAATAAAGTTAACAATCTGCATAACAAAGGACAAGTATTTGATGAGCTCAATGTATAATTAGTAGAATGATGCATCATAGCAAAAATTCTATCTTTGTGACAATTGATCTCATTTAGTCACAAAGGTATTAAAATGTTCAAGGTTGAACATCTTTGTAAAATTATGGATGATTTATATTTTCTTTTCTTTTTAAGATTAATGAACAAATTTTTAATTATGAAAATGAACAAATATTTTATTATTAAATTGAAAATATAAAATAAGGAGATTAATCCCTAAATAAAGAAATGAATATAAAGCATAAAATATAATTGTAAAATTAAGTAAAAAACATAAGGACCAGCCCCAAGATTGTTGAAAAACTACCCAATTAATCCCTAAAGAAAGAAATGAATATAAATCATAAAATATAATTGTAAAATTAAGTAAAAAATATAAGGACCAGCCCCAAGATTGTTGAAAAACTACCCATATTATAATCACAACGCATAAGGACCTATAATTGCTAAAGTTTTTGGTAAAGATATGAATTAGATAAGGGCTCTTCTTATACTATTTTTTTTCCTTATTTGTTCCCATCATTTATTTGATGATTTCATGAAATAGTTAGAAGTTTCCAACATAATGTTTTCTTCAATTAATTTTATTATATTAAATAAAGTTTTTATCTTTCTTTTTCCAAAGTAATCCTTAATAATTGAAGAGCTCAGAGGACATTCAATGTCATCTATATGAATATGTTCTAAATTAGAAGTAGGTGGTAAAGGAAATAGAAGATCGAAAAATTCCAAGTGAAACTAATATCATAAAAAAATTTATCTTAAATTTTGAAGTACTAGTGATATATCTGATAAATGTCATAATTAATTTAGGTTGAAATCCAAATTGAAGCAATTATGTAAGCAATCATTATAAATATTAGGATTTAATGATCATTTGCTATTTTTGGGAAGAGGCAATTAATGTTATATCTTATTCATAAATATAGAATTGCAAACTTTAACTTTATAAGACTTTATGATATATTATTGCAACTCAACAAAAAGTGACCCACCAAAAGAATAATTTGCTTTAATAATTTTTTTGATGGTTTACAATTGAGTTCTTTTTTCAAACATTTCCTAAAAAGTGAGAAATTAAAAATATATGACAAATTTGTCTAGTACACTAATGGATAATAACAAAAAGTTTAGTCCATTATGAAAAGAAAGAGACAAGGTTTCAATTGAATCTTTAAAGATGTTGAAGAAAAGTGACGACCGTTATTAATTTATGGTTAGCCTTAAATTACCAGAGTCAAGATGCAACATGATTTGTATATAGTAAACTTACAATAATATCAAATTGATGCACTATAAATAATTAATTATTTCTTTTTTCATGAATCTATTAGAGAATTGTGAAATGAATATTGTATGACTACTTATCAATTCATTTAAATTGTGGAGACTTTTGATTGGTGCAAGATAAAATTTTTATATTTTTTAAACCTGAATGTTGGAAACATAACTATCTTTATAGCATGAATAATACTTTTTAATTAAGGGATAGTAATAAATCAATATTAATTATGTATAAAAGGAAGTGGGTTGGGTGCAAAGCCCATTAAAGAAAGAGATATAGAAAAGGAAAATTTGATTGTCATGGGGGATTAAAATAAACGCATATATGTTTTTCTAAGAAACAGTAGTTGAGCTAATGATGTCAAGGACCGAAGCAAAGGTCTAGTTAATTGCATAAAGTATATCTCAACAAAAATAATAGACACAGTAAGGTATTGAGTTTGGTCAATTTTGAGAAAATATGAAAAAGATTTTGAGTTAAGTACTATTAATTCTAGAAATAACAATCCAATTTCTAACTATTTCATTTTATGTCCATCAAATTATAATTTTGCATAGTTCTAAAATGCTTTATTAAGGCAATTTCATTTTTCATTTTTTTAACGTTCTCCAATATTGCTACTTTTTTATTAAGTTTGAAAGGTAAATTAATTTTGCCTACAACAATCTTTTATAAGTCAATGTCATGTAATTTTTTTTAAAATAAAATTGTTTAATGACTTACTTGTGCATTTATCCCTTCAATCTCGTATCTTTTGCACACTTGTCCTTGAACGAGCTTCATGCTCACCAAAGTTTAACAATTCTTTAGTATAGCTCCTCACTAACACATGATGCATACATTATAGCTTTAATTGATAAAATGAAGTCTTGATTAGCTAGTAATTTTCTTTTTTAGTAATAAACTTGTTCTTGATGCTTATGATATGTTTTAAAAATATGAAATTAGCTTTAGATAAAGGTTTCATATGTTTGCTTGTTAAGTAAGTATAACTTAGAAGATAAAGAATCAAATTAGATTTTATGAATATGTTTAATTTGAACTCAACATTTATATTCTAACATCAATGTAATATAAACTTAAAAGTTATTTTTATGTATATATGAAATACAATTGAAATGTTAATAAGTAAATTACGATCATTAAAATTAGTTTGCTAATATTAGTTATAGTTTATACGCTTTATTAAGGATGAAAAAAATTAATCAGACATGCACTTGAGCGATAGAGAAATGTTTTTAAATAGTTATATAAACCTAATCAGGAAAGGAAATATTTATACTCAAAATATTATTAATTATATCAATTATCAATTTTTTCATACAATTAAAGGCAAATAGTAAATCAGTGGAGTTTAAAGATTAAAGAAACATAACAAATCTTTGAAGGTTGAGTGAATACTATTATTTCAAATTTATAGTCATGTTCAACTAAAAAGTAGTGTTGAATAAATTAATATTGTTTTACTTTAACAAGCATTTATGTTACCTTCTAATTTATTTATGTAATATATGTGGCTTATGTGACTTGGTGATATGATGTATCTCACAAATAATTTTGATAATTCATTAATGTATTTAATTAAGATATTAGGGCTAAGATCTCAAGAATTAAAGTGGTGGGGGAAAATAATTTATGTTATATATATTAGAATATTGATACTTTTAGATTCAAATGAACTTTAAGTAGTAGCTTCTAAGTATGTTTATGAATTTCTAGTATGATATTCACTTTGAATTTAGCAAATATAAACTAAAAACCTTCATCAAACCATATTTTTCTAACTTCAATTTGTTCTTTAAGTTTAGCTTTGCTA